TCTCCCCCCCCTCTCTCTCTTTACCCCTCTTTCTTTTCTCTCTTTCTATCCCGTTAGACTTCTCTCTCTCACTCTCCCCCCCTCTCTCTCTCTCTCTCTTTCTCTCTCTCTCTCTCTCTCTCTCTCTCACTCTCTCTCTTTGCCTTATTTACCTTTTACCCTCCCCCCCTTCCCCCCTACCTCTCTCACTCTTATAACAGGCACTTACACACATATAAATAAACAAATGCTCAGTCACACAAAATTTTACAAAAAACTCACCTCATACTTTTCAGCTAAAAAAATCCTACTATAGACGTAGTATGCCATTAATTATTAAGACTTTCCCTATTACAATACCTCGAGACTCCCGTTTTCGAGTGGTTGGAGGGTACTATGGTGTGAATTGCTCCTTCTTTCCTATCAAATGTCTGTCGTCCTGAACTCTTTTTTCTGGGTTGGCTAATCTCTTGTAACGCCTATAATCTGCAGCAATTATGTAATTATTGCGTTGCAAGTTGCGTAAAACTTTTACTAAGAGTAAACCGTGGGTACAGAATTTCAGCTCGGTCAGTGACACACAGCGCATTCTAACACCTGCTCTCACGCACTGAAAAACATTATGACATAATAATCATCGTAACTAATTACTACAAAAATGCATTACTTCATTTTGTTAACAAAATGTGCGTCAGCTATTTTTGGATAGTCTTTTACAAGATACCATGAGCCTGTTCTCTGAAAGTCAACAATATCCAGGTCTACCGAAAACGACAGCTTGACGAGAGAAATTGTAGAACTAGTTTTCCTTCATTGAGATTCATTCTGGAATGCAACTTCGTGCTCAAGAAGTTCTCTTTACTAAGGCAAATCTCAGACCACGTTATTCTGTTCGCTAATGAGGATAAATTGTACGTGTCTGAGTACGTGTCAAGACGAAAGATAAAAAGATACTAACAATAAATTGAATATTTATTTTTAGTTTAGAAAACGCCACGAACCATAGCTATCAGTAAACTGGTGGTTTGCGGGTGTTCTGGTGTGATGTGCTCCTTCTTTTCTATCATATATATATCTTCCTTAAACAGTCTTCCTTTTTTTGTTTTGCTACGCTCTTGTAACACTTTTAATCTTCATAACTTACTTATATCAGGGTCCAGTTATGTTGCAAGTGCTGTAAAACACTAAGTAAAACTAAAACTAAAGATATTAGTGTCGAATTGAAAAGAGGAATATAGTATTGGAAAGATTGTAGAGAAATCAAATTTTAAAACTTAAGGGTAAAATTCAAATTGAACTGTCACTTTTTAAAATGTGTTATAGTGGTCTAGTTTGGATTGCTTTTTAAATTTATTTTTATTGTTCTTTTGGCTTTCTACGTAGTGATTGGTTCTTGAACACAAATCTTTTTAATCATTTAGTAGTAGTAGTAGTAGTAGTAGTAGTAGTAGTAGTAGTAGTAGTAGTAGTACAAGTAGTAATAGTAGTAAGAGGTGTAGTAGTAGTAGTAAGAGTAGTAGTAGTAGCAGTAGCTTAGTAGAAGTAGTACTAGTAGTATTTTATGATTATTGTCATTATTATTTATTATTATTATTATTATTATTATTATTATTATTATTATTATTATTATTATTATTGTCATCATCATTATCATTATTATCATATAGCTCTGTTTACCAAGTCTTTTTAGAACATTAAAGCCCAGTAATTGCAAGCAACATTGCGTCATTCAAAAACTATTTATGAAACTCATACAGGACTACATCAATGTAATTGTTTAGTGGTAAGCACTAATGTCAGTATTTCACGTCTGCATCGTCAAAATTTTAATCTGCTTGGCAGGGACAAAATGGACAAAGTGGGACACAACATTCAAACAGACAGAGAGAGATGCTTCATGATCTAACATTCTCACTCGATAATTGTACTCTCGTGTAGTGTGTACTACGGCGCAGGGAGCCTAAAGCTGGCAATCCATGAAAAACCGATGCGAACTTCGGGTGCGAATTTCGTGTACGAAATTCGGATGCGATGAAAAATGAGCCCTCCTTCCATATACCCGAAATTCATATCCGTCATTTCCGACTGAAATCACGGCACCAGTTCAGTCAGAGCAAGCACTCTACGTTGAAAACGAGATAATTTTGCTGTTAGAACTCCAGTTCCTACGAAAGCAGGCTTTAAATTGCTTCGCCCAGACTTGATGATGGTCCTTCCTTCATAAACTTTGCTTTCTTGGGTCGTTTTCTTTTCGAAGCTACGGTCCTATCATTACAGCGCTGGCTGATGTGGCTGTGGCACAGACAGTAATCTTAGGTTATAATAAATATATGTTAAAAGTTATAATCAGGGGCATTTAAGGAGGGGGTGGGGAGTAAGTGAAATGCTATTTTTGTTATTACATGATTTAAACGATAAATGATAGCATAGATAGATTACATAGACTCCTGAAAGTTTCACACAGACTTTTAAAAAATGTGGTTGCCATGGAAATGGCAGCCACCTTGAAAATGAACACCTCTTTTCAGTCTTAGTTTTAACACTTCTCTTTTGAACCAAGGAAATCAACATTTCGACGTTTTCCCACTTACCCAGTGCTCCCATGCTGCTTCGTTCCTTTGAAGTAGATTTGACGGGATATTAGCCCCGCCCACTTCACGAAGAATTCGGGTGCCGAAGAAAAAAGTTTCTCTCCCTCGTGCGAAACAAAATCTTCGCATGCGAATTTCGGACTCGGCCATGCGAAATTCCGATTTAAACAATGACAAAAAGGTTGGTGCGAAAGAAATAGTTCGCACGCGAAATTCGCACCCGAAATTGACATCGGGTTTTCTGGCATATGGAATGTCAGATTTACACAAGATAAGAGTCTCCGTTAAACCATTCTGCTCTGAATTCTTAAAAAGATCCGTGAAACTATCTCTAGTCACTTACAAATTCTTCTTCTCTCTCCATCAAGGTACATTTTCTCTTTCCTGACTGTCTTGAGTGGCAACCTTACTCTCATGATTTACATTACACAAAAACAACAACAACAACAACAGCAACAACAACAACAACAGCAACAACAACAACAACAGCAACAACAACAACAACAGCAACAACAACAACAGACGCAAAAGCAATAACAACGACTTGAGCAAAGCCTCCACTACTTTCTTTACAGCCCAAGCAGTCCGGAAGTGTGAAGAAAACGGCTCCTGGTGGGTGAACCCGCTAGTTGGTGAGGCGAAGAGCGACCACACCGCATGCTTGCACAACAGAACTGAACCGGTAAGTTCATTAACTCCTTTTTCATTAACTCGTTAATGTGACTCCTTAGTGCTGAGCAGATTAATGTCTTCGTGTGTAACGCATTGCGCATGAACGAAGCTACCAAATGAACTTGATTTACAACAAAAAAGAAAGAAAAAGAAAAAGAAAGAAAAGAACTAAATCCATTGGGTTGCAAAGACACTTCTTGTTGTAAGGTCGGTCCGAGTTTTTTACCTGATAGGACGATAAGTGCCTTGAAAATGTGCCATACTCTCGTCTCTGTCATTACATAGGTTGAAAATCATTTCGGATATACAGCACTTAGTAAAAGTATAATATCAATGCATTATTGCATACATATTCATCTAATACCATACATAATATGCTCCATAACTATATTTTATGGACATTTTAAGCACTATGCGCATATGCATGTTTAGGATTAGAGGTGTTTGTTTTGCTGTTGTTTTATTAACAAATGATTTATTATATTTGTATATAAATACCTGCGAAAGGTTGAATTAAACCTTGTTGTCTTCTCAAATGTTTTTGAAACAACACACCAGGTTCGCTCAGCAGCATTATTTTATCCAAGGATAAAAAGAGGTTGGAGCCAGGATGCATACCATCAGTGCAGTGAACGTATTCAAATTTGAATGGAACCTTTAAATAAACGTGACAAAAAGGCAAACGAAAACTGCTTTGTTTAAAGAAACCCATCAAAACGTATACATTTGCATTTCATCAGGTTTATAGCAACAATAAACAATGACTGGTTGACGATCCATGACAAATATTTGTGATTCTTGATGACTTTCCTAAACTATTCGTCATACAACTGTTTTCAAATATTTATCTGCAACGCACATTTGAAGAGATGTTATCAGGTCCATGAGGGAAGAATTGTGTTGGTTCATTGTAGCTCAGAGGAATACTCTGTTTTTAAATATTGATAGGCTGAACGCACCGCAAGCTGAAAACAGTGAAGATGTGTTCTATCATACAACAATGGAAACGGAAAAGTTAACTTTCAATTCAGCAGTGCGTTTTCCAATAATTATTCTACATGATTAATTTGCATCACACGAAATGTGAGTTTACAATGTTGCATCATGTCATAATTAT